TGAGAAGGATTCCTCATTGTTAGTGGTCTCAATTTTGCAATTAATAATTCCAGCATAAAATGTTTCCAGATGATTATTTGATTGTATGACTTAATTCGAGAACTAATCGAGAAATTGATTTAGTTTAATAATTATGCCTTACATGAAACAAATTGAACTTGTGGTGATCCAAATTGTTGCATGCATTTCATCTGCATCATCTTCACTCTTTCATTGCGGGTGTTCACCTTTAGTGGAAGTTTAAATTGCTTTTGTAGTAGTTGTGTTTTCACGTGGAATTTGGTGACATTGTTCTTAAATATATAGGAAGTTTAAATTGCTATATATGTAGTTGTGTTTGTTGGGAAACGTGCAAGTTTTTAAAACTTTTGAGGGATTTGCAATCACGGATCTTGATTCATCACACAAAAACAAGTTTTATGCAAAGATAAATAAAAGATGATACATAATTCAATAAACAGATTGAATATTTACATCAAAGGTCTGAGTAAACCTTTTGAACTTTCCTCTAAAGTGAATGTTCTCACTTATTGTAGATCCCTTTAGCAAGATCCTTTCTCCTTCCGTTCGATTATTATCTTCCCTTTAGGAATCACCAATATGCCTTGATGAATGACCTTGGAATCTAGGCTGGTGGTAGCCTCCTTTAGAAGAGAAAACAAAACCCTAAAATCTAGAGAGAGAAAGTGTATTCATTTTTCTTGTTCTCCAAGTCACCCCTAAAATATACATGAACTCATGTATATATAGGCAAAATAAAAATAAGAATAAGGAAATAATAAATCATTCTCCATCTCTAATTCAACTTTCTCAATCCTAACATGACTCCAATATCAACTTTGGCTATTGGTGAGAATCCTTTTGGGCTTACTATTTTCTTGGCTTCTATAAATTAATAATTGGTCCGGTCCATTAAACCATGGACCCAATTCAATTAATTCATAAATTAATTTCTACTCCACTAAAAGAAATTAATTGCACTCCAATTAAATAGTAAATAACCTCTAAGTCAATGTTGCACTTTGACCCCTCTATGCTTAATTATTTATCGGATAATTAAAGCCATCAATCCGACAACATAATTAATATAACTATTTTGTTACCTTTGATTATTTCCGACTCGATCACAATAAAATATTTATTTGACAAAAAATAATAATAATTTATTAAATAAATATATATAGAAAACATTTGTCTAAAACATACGAAGGCCTTCGAATTTAATTTGTGATCAACCATAATCAAAACAAAATAAATACAAATAGCACTGATGCAAATATTGAGAATATAGACCTCTAATTATTAATTACATAACTACCCAAAGTGTCGATCTAAGGATCCCGAGGTATCCGCCGAACAAATCAAAGTAATTATTAATTAATAAAAGAGTCTATACTTCTCTCATGCTTGAGAGTCAAAAACCATGACTGTGATAGAGAGCAATTGCATACGACAGCTCTCGCAATATATCTCAATCTATCGTGGACTCGGTTTAAGTCTTAACTAATTAAATGTCCATCCATAATTACCGACTTTAAACCATTTATGATTACTAATTTATATCATAGTATTAATTGCCATTGCATACATATATAAATATATTTTGTAATCAAGCAGACACCATCAATTCCATAAAGAATCGAAAAATAATACATTCCATTCACCAATTGTATAATGCTTTAATAATAATATCCAAATAAGAAACCATGACTTTTACAATCCAAAATTAGAATTTGCTATGCTAGGGCACACATATCCTAACAGCTCCCACTTGCACTTATAGCTAATTCAAATCACATCTAACTCCCATGTTCTCCATATGACGATCAAACATCTTGATCGGTAAAGCCTTTGTGAATGGATCAGCAAGGTTATATTCCGATGCAATCTTAGCCACAAGTATATCTCCTCGCTTTACTATATCACGAACCACATGATGTTTCCTCTGAATGTGTCTTGTTCCTTTATGAAATTTTGGGTCCTTGGTTTGGGCTATAGCTGCACTATTGTCGCAATGAAGCGTTATAGGCCGATCTATGTGCTCCACAACCTCCAGTTCAATTAGAAAGTTTCTCAACCAAACAGCTTCTTTTGCTGCCTCAGAGGCTGCAATGTATTCTGCTTCCATGGTTGAGTCAGCAGTACAACCCTGCTTGACACTCTTCCAACTAACTGCCCATCCATTGAACTTGAACACATATCCAGATGTAGATCTCCTGGCATCAGGATCTGATTGAAAATCAGAATCCGTATATCCGACTGGAACCAGATCATCACCTCCATAAATGAGCATTAGATTCTTAGTTCTTCTAAGGTATTTTAAGATATTCTTCACAGTTGACCAATGATCAAGTCCAGGATTGGACTGATATCTACTGACAATCCCTACAGAGTAGCAGATGTCCGGTCTGGTACAGATCATGGCATACATGAGACTACCAACTGCCGAAGCGTATGGTACCCGCCTCATTTGCTCAGTTTCCTTATCAGTCTTGGGAGACTGGTCATTAGAAAGAGCCAACCCATGTCTAAATGGCAAAAACCCTTTCTTAGAGTTTTCCATTCCAAACCTGATCAGAACTTTGTCAATGTAAGACTCTTGAGACAAGCCTATTTTCTTTTTAACCCGATCTCGCATAAGCTTGATCCCAAGAATATAGCTTGCTTCTCCAAGATTTTTGATCTCAAATTTATTGAACAACCACCTTTTAACTGATGACAATGCTTCTACATCATTACCAATGAGCAAGATGTCATCAACATATAAAACGAGAATCATGATGACATTACCCTGTTTTTTCTTGTAAACGCAAGGTTCAAACACGTTTTGTTCAAAGCCAAATAATTTGACTGCCTGATCAAAACAAATGTTCCATGTGCGTGAAACTTGCTTAAGTCCATAAATAGACCTATTCAACTTACATACACAGTCCTCACGACCTTTAACTACGAAACCGTCTGGTTGCCTCATGTAGATGTCTTGTTCAAGATGGCCATTTAAAAATGCCGTCTTAACATCCATCTGCCATATCTCATAGTCATAATAAGCACTAATGGCCAAAAGAATGCGAATAGATTTAAGCATTGCAACTGGTGAGAATGTATCCTCATAATCAATACCTTCACGTTGAGTGAAGCCTTTGGCAACCAGTCTAGCTTTGAATGTCTCAACATTCCCATCCATTCCTCTCTTTCGTTTGTAGATCCACTTACAACCAATGGGCTGAACCCCACTAGGAAGTTCTACAACATCCCAGACTTTGTTAGAATACATCGATTCCAACTCTGATTTCATGGCATCTTTCCAACGATTCGCATCTATATCAGTCAACGCTTCCGCATAGCTTACTGGGTCCGACTCATGCTTATCGGGGACGGCCTCATAGACCTCACCCAAAAGTGTGAGTTTTTCGGGTTGGATGATAGTCCTCCCACTACGCCGAAGGACCGGTGCAGGAATCGATGTACTAGATGATGGTAATTCAACAGGGACTTCTTGTGTCTCATCATTCTCAGTATTTATATTAGGTGTGTCCACTGGGGGTATATCTGACGTGCCAACCATCTCCTCTAACACTATCTGGCTACTAGGTTTGTAGTTCATAATATAATCCTCCTCCAGGTAAACAGCATGAGTGCTGACAATAACTTTATTGTCCTTGGGATCATAAAATAATCCACCTCTAGTGCCCTTAGGATAGCCAACAAATAAGCATGCATCTGATCTTGCTTCCAACTTGTCTGCCTGTTTCTTTCGCACGTGTGCTGGACACCCTCATATATGCATGTGATTTAAACTAGGTTTACGTCCAAACCACAGCTCATATGGCGTTCCTGAAACAGACCTGGATGGAACACAGTTCAAAATATACATCGCTGATTCTAAGGCTAATCCCCAAAATGATAGAGATAATGTAGCAAAACTCATCATAGATTTAACCATGTTAAGTAAAGTTCTGTTTCTCCTTTCTGCCACTCCATTCTGTTGAGGGCAGTCAGGTGCGGATAACTGGCGCACAATACCCTCATTGACCATATGATCCTTGAACTCCCCCAAAAGGTATTCACCTCCTCGATCAGATCGAAGTGTTTTGATAAGTTTACCTAATTTACACTCCACTTCCGCCTGAAACTCATGGAATTTTCCATAAGCTTCTGACTTGTGTCGCATTAGGTAAATATATCCAAAACGTGAATAATCATCAATGAAAGTGATGAAGTACTCAAACCCTCCTCTTGCTTGGGTGTTCATGGGACCACACACGTCTGTGTGCACCAACTCTAATTGTTCTTTGGCTCTATCTCCTTTGGCTGAGTAAGCCCTTCGAGTCATCTTTCCTTCAATACAGGATTCACAAGTTGGCATAGGCTCCTCTGCCTCACAAGGTAATAAACCTTCTTTAACCAACCTTTGAATCCTATTTTGATTGATGTGACCCAATCGTAGATGCCAATGATACAATGAGTTTGGAGAAACTGCTTTTCTTTTAACATTCAATCTAGATGAAGTTGCATTTAATTCATAATTTTGCATTTGATATGAGCTAGGAGTTAAAACATATAGATTATCTTTCAATGCACCAGAAGTTATAACACAACCATTTAATTTAATTAAAACATTTTTTTCCAAAAGTAAAAATATAATTTTTGCAAACCAACGAAGAAACTGAAATTAAATTGTGCCTAACATTTGGCGCATAAAGACAATCTTCTAAAATAAGACTCCTCCCACTATCAAACTGCATATGAACCACTCCCACTGCTTTAGCTTCCACCTTGGCATTAGATCCCATATGCAAGTATATCTCTCCTTCATTGAGGCTTCTAGACTCCTGGAATCCCTGCAATGAATTGCAAACATGATTAGTGGCTCTAGAATCTATGCACCAGGAATCTATAGATTCAACCACATTACATGCCTCAACAATGAATATACCTTTTCCTTTGCCTTGTGTGCGAAGTATTGGGCAGTTAGGTTTCCAGTGACCCGGTTGACCGCAATGGAAGCAGTTTCCTTCGCCTTCAACCCGCACTTTCTTCTTTCCCTTATCCTTTTGGATTACTTTGTTTGGCACAACCACAGTTTTGGCACCATCCTTCTTCTTTTTCTTGCCCCTCCTCTTGGGCCTAGAAGTGGATGGTCCAGCAGACTGAGTGTAGTTGATAGATGCACCCTTGCTTTTGTTTATCCCTTCAAAGGTTACCAACTCATTCAATAGTTCAGCGAGTGTGTACTCAAGCTTATTCATATAATAATTAACCCTAAAAGAGTTAAATGAGTATGGCAATGAAGCGATAATCATGTCAACCTGAAGTTCACCATCCAAGTTGCATCCAAGGATCTCCAGTTCATTTAAAAAACCAATCATTTTTAAAGCATGTTCCCGAACTGAAGTACCTTGGACCATCTTAATGGTCATCAAATTTGTCATAGCATTTTGGCGTGCGCTCTTACCAATTTGCCCAAACATTTCCTTAAGGTTAAGCATGATGTCTGCAGAAGTGAGATATTGAAGATGTTGACTTTGGAGTACATTCGAGAGTGAAGCAAGAATGTAGCACCTAGTCATCTCATCTGCTTTATTCCATTTCTTAAATACTTCATGCTCCTCAGGAGAATCCTCAGGCAAAGGTGGAGAAGGTCTAGGAGTAGTAAGCACATAATTCAACCCCTCATATGTGAGTACAATGTCTAGTTGCCTTTTCCAATCGATATAATTAGGTCCAGTTAATCGATTTTCTTTTAGTATGTTTGCAAGTGGACTGAATGGACTAGTCATGATAAATCTGAAAATAAAAGCATTCATACAATAAATAAAGTGAATAATAATAATCATGCAAGTATAAAATAATTAATTAATTGTGGGTCCCTTAACCACATTGCATGAAAAATCGGACAATCAATATACCAATAACTTATCCGGTTGGCGGAATTCATTATTGCTTATTGACGAGAACAACTCATTATTTCCATATCTCTTTTGACAATGCCTTATCTAAATATGAAATAATTCCCGATTAGATTTAGCCTTTCTAAAATCACCTAGTATAGACCACTCCGTTGGGGAGCTAATACTATTGATTTTAGATTGAGTGTATAACATAATTAATGCTCCAACGGAAAAACAAATATTAAATATATTGCCATTAATAGCTTAGGCTCTTTAAATCATGCGTAGGGCCTTATTTTTAAAGATCTAACTATAATGGTTATTTAATAAATATATTTTCGTGAGGCAACCATTCTTGTAATCTAGACTCTTTAAATCATGCGTGGAGCCTTATTTTTAAAGATCTAATCATAATGGTTATAATTACGAAGGCCATGGGGTAATGTATAAAAAATCCCCGCTCCCACTCAATTTTTAATAATATAAAACTAGGGTTTTCAATTCATGATTTAATGCATGCAAAACGCCTTGATTTTAATCCAATTAAATTTAGAAAATATATGGATTTTAAATGATTCACTAATCTTTAATTTGAGGCAAAAAATAATTTACAAAAATATTTTTCCTATTTCCCAATAAATGCCCTCAAATTAATTAGCAATCTAATCCAATTTATCTTCATAATTTAATTAATATAAATCAAGCCATTTAATTAAAAATCATGGATCCAATGCATGAACAATTATAATCAGCATTAAATTATTCCCTGCATCAAATAATAGACAGAAGCAATATAAATGGCTAATGGATTCAGCTTTTAACATTTAAAAACTATTCTTGCTGTACGGGCGTCCTTCAACTGTCTGTAAACACTCATAGGAAGCTTGTACGCGTCAGGAGAAGCAAAACACCGCTTGGAACGAGCCCGAAGGACCCCACACGTGCTGGCACGCGCCTAGGGCAAGCTGCACGCGCTCCCACGCGCCCCCACGTGCCGACACGTGCTTGGGGCTCGTGGAATGCACCCTCACGCGCTCCCACGCGCCTGGGGCGCGTGGGACGAGCCTCCACGCGCCTTCCCGCGTGTGGAGAGTACCAACTCCTTGGCTGGCGCGTGAGATCCACGCGCCAGCTTGTCATTGACCAGCCCACTCCTGGCGCGTGTGGAACACGCGCCAAGCTCACCTAGCCGCTGCCACACCTGATCCGGGCCACCTCCGACGCCTTTTCTCGCCGCCGGCGAAGCTCCGGCCACCGGAAAAACGCTGAAAAATTCCAAAAAAATCCCAGAAAATTAAATTAAGCCTCAAAAAATTCCCGAAAAATTCAGGAAAATTCCAGAAAATTACTGAAGCATAATTTAACCCTTTCGGACCCTTTTGAAGCTTCATAGCATCCTTTGATGAATATTACATAGCTTTAATAAATACTTACAATTTGAAATACAATGGAAAAAATTAAATTATATCATTGAATTTTCAAACGGCTAAAACAAAGCCTTAATTAAATTCATCAAAAAATAAAATTACATTCTATATACCTATAAGCTTCATCCATGGCCCAAACACACATCATCATCCATTCACAATTATACATAAATCAACATGTATTAATATATATCAACATAATAAATCATACATCAACATATATCAATAATTTTATATATGTATATATAATTTGGATCCATGAATATGATTTTTATAAACACATGTTCTCTAGTAATGAATCAAACCATGTGCTCTGATACCACTGTTGGGAAATGTGTAAGTTTTTAAAACTTTTGAGGGATTTGCAATCACGGATCTTGATTCATCACACAGAGACAAGTTTTATGCAAAGATAAATAAAAGATGATGCATAATTCAATAAACAGATTGAATACTTACATCAAAGGTCTGAGTAAACCTTTTGAACTTTCCTCTAAAGTGAATGTTCTCACTTATTGTAGATCCCTTTAGCAAGATCATTTCTCCTTCCGTTCGATTATTATCTTCCCTTTAGGAATCACCAATATGCCTTGATGAATGACCTTGGAATCTAGGCTGGTGGTAACCTCCTTTAGAAGAGAAAACAAAACCCTAAAATCTAAAAAGAGAAAGTGTATTCATTTTTCTTGTTCTCCAAGTCACCCCTAAAATATACATGAACTCATGTATATATAGGAAAAATAAAAATAAGAATAAGGAAACAATAAATCATTCTCCATCTCTAATTCAACTTTCTCAATCCTAACATGACTCCAATATCAACTTTGGCTATTGGTGAGAATCCTTTTGGGCTTACTATTTTCTTGGCTCCTATAAATTAATAATTGGTCCGGTCCATTAAACCATGGACCCAATTCAATTAATTCATAAATTAATTTCTACTCCACTTAAAGAAATTAATTGCACTCCAATTAAATAGTAAATAACCTCTAAGTCAATGTTGCACTTTGACCCCTCTATGCTTAATTATTTATCGGATAATTAAAGCCATCAATCCGACAACATAATTAATATAACTATTTTGTTACCTTTGATTATTTCCGGTTCGATCACAATAAAATATTTATTTGACAAAAAATAATAATAATTTATTAAATAAATATATATAGAAAACATTTGTCTAAAACATACGAAGGCCTTCGAATTTAATTTGTGATCAACCATAATCAAAACAAAATAAATACAAATAGCACTGATGCAAATATTGAGAATATAGACCTCTAATTATTAATTACATAACTACCCAAAGTGTCGATCTAAGGATCCCGAGGTATCCGCCGAACAAATCAAAGTAATTATTAATTAATAAAAGAGTCTATACTTCTCTCATGCTTGAGAGTCAAAAGCCATGACTGTGATAGAGAGCAATTGCATACGACAGCTTTCGCAATATATCTCAATCTATCGTGGACTCGGTTTAAGTCTTAACTAATTAAATGTCCATCCATAATTACCGACTTTAAACCATTTATGATTACTAATTTATATCATAGTATTAATTGCCATTACATACATATATAAATATATTTTGTAATCAAGCAGACACCATCAATTCCATAAAGAATCGAAAAATAATACATTCCATTCACCAATTGTATAATGCTTTAATAATAATATCCAAATAAGAAACCATGACTTTTACAATCCAAAATTAGAATTTGCTATGCTAGGGCACACATATCCTAACTGTGTTTTCATGTGGAATTCTCCTTTTTAAGTTCTCAATCAATGTCCTTTCTATTCTAGCAGGGGGATAAGTTGAGTTGGTTGAGGCCACCTTTTAGAGTATATAATTAAACAATGGATGCACACAATGATGTAAGTTCTTCACTTCATAATACTGGATTTATCACTTTATATGACGATCAACATTATTTATGTAATCAATTTCAAGATAGAATACCGTAGGCATTTCTTAAAGAGTCCTTTGTGGTGGGGTCCTCTGCTTGCATTTGTTGTTACCAAGTCCATTCACTTCTTAATGTGATACTTTCAAATTTTTACGTGTAGATTGGTCAGGCTCATATATCTGAATACCCGAAAATATCAAAACAATTTAGTATTTAAACGAATATATATTATAAAAAAATATAAATAAATAAAGAGAATAAATAATTCGCTTAATTAAATAAATCATTCCTTACAAATAAAATACAACTCGGGAATCTTGTAAGTAAAGGACCCCTAAATCATAAATTATTAATCATTAAGTTTTTAAATAAATAAACTAACAATAAGCAACATATACTAGTCCTACTTTGAAATAGATATGAATAGGGGTGCACAAAAGAACCGAGGAACTGTATAACCGAACTGAACCGAACTGAACCAGAGCTTCGGTTCCGGTTCTCACGGTTCCGGTTCCGGTTCCGATTCTGGTTCTTAAAATGAGGAACCGTCAAGTTTCGGTTCGGTTTCGGTTCCAGAACCGAACCGTAATATATATATATATATATATATATATATATATATATATATATATATTATATTTGATTATATTATTAGTCACTCTAAACCTAAAAAAAAAAATTATTTTTAGGCCAAATCATTTCAGCGGCTCAGCCTCCCCAGTCGCCTCCATCTCCATTCTCGTTCTCGACTCTGAACTTGCTCTCTCTCTCTCTGCAACTG